CTCCCACCCCTGCAGCATAGCCAAACTTCTCCTCAGGCTGGATCCAGTCACCAAAAAACAGCAGATGAGCTGGAGTAGAAAACAAGAGAACAAGCCTGGTGACCTGGAACCATTTTACAAAGTGAGAAGGGCTCATTTTTGAATGAGGACAACTGTGTTCAGAGCTCTGGCTTGCTTACTCGAAGAACTCCAGCCAGGATTTCAAGGGAAGCCTGCTTCCCACCCCACCCCCCATAGCCCCCAGCATGCTGGCTCTACAAAAAGATATTCCTGTATTCAATATCTTATAGTGTTTCTTTATAAGTGTCTGCATATAATTGTCGAGTTTGATGCTAAATTTTTGAACGGACAATTACTAATACTTTAAAAGAACTATGAAACTGCAAAACTCAGTGCTATGGAAGAGTGACCCTAAATAAGCAGTGTGTCCTTCCCCAAGACGGGGTTCATGTATGGCTACAAGGAGTTTGCTTCCTTCTTTCTTTCTTTCTCTTTTAAAATAAATGTATTGAATGTGTGAGTGTCAAGCATTGACCTTGCTCTGAGGGTGCGCAGGTAAGACTCAGTCACAGGACTCAGGGCTCATCCTTCAGGTCTCACATCTGCAAAAACAGAACAAGTGGGAGGTGCCACTGTGGGCAAGACAGAGGGACCAGGGCCCAATTAATGTGGGGTCTCAGAGTCTTCAGAGTGATGATGTTGTCTTTAAAATACAAAATGGGTACCAAAAGAAGAATTTTATCACCAGAAAGGAAACACTGACGACTTTCATTATGCAAAACAACCTGGGACTTTGAGAAAAGCCTGAGGATTCAAATAAGGATCAGGAGTTGAGTAATATTATTGGTCCTGTCAACAATTTATGTCTCTTGCTCGTCTCCTCCCTCCAGGGTTCTGTAACATCAGGGTGCCTTCTAAATGGAAGATGAAACTATTGTTATAAAGCCCATTTAAATAAACCCTCTGGACGAAAAAGTCACCTCTTTCCAATTTGTTGAAATAAGAGAGTCATAATATTTATTTCGTCAAGGGAGTGTGAAGCTTAGTTGGGATTCATTTACTTCATTACTCCTTCTGGGGCGCTTAAAAATTTATATAATCCCATATGTGGTTTGTAGGAGTGGACTTCACGAGGATTTCCTGAGAAAGAGTATGAATATTTCATCAAGTTTTGCCATCCATCTTTCAAGCATAGTCACCCTCAGTCTAGCTTTTCCAGTCCCTCATGACAGGATTCCCAGGTACTGGGAGCTTCCCAAAGGGGGGCCTCCGCCAGGCGTCTGGAGGGGCTGCTGGTCCATCACTGCAGGCCCCCCCCAGCACCTGCCTCGGGGTGTGCACACAGGCTTGCTGTGTACATGTTTATTTCCCCAAGCTGACTGTGAACAACCACAGGGCATCAACCTACCCACATTCTGAATCTCTCACAAGCCTCTTACATAGTAACTAGCAGAGAAGAGGTCACGGAACGAAGGTTTGTCAGGGGAATGGGTACACGCCTCCCATGCTCATGTTTCAAGGCAGAAGCTGACCCATGTCTTCCGAACGAATGACCTGCCCTCCCGTTTTCCTTCTTTTCCCGTCCGCCCTCAGCCCAACACCCTCCTTTCCTTCCTTAGTAACCTGATTTGATCTAGTTGAGGCAGAGGTTTCCAACCTGGGCTGCACAGCAAAATCACCTGGGGGTGGGGAACCTCACAAGTAAAGCACACAGGGGTGCCTGGCCTCACCAGCAGGAACTCTGATTTTATTTGTCAGAGTGCGGCCCTGGGGCTGGTATTTTGTAAATGCTCCTGTGATGGGTCTACAGTGCATCCAGGCCTCAGAAACACGGATTTAAGGGATACTCAAGTTCCACCTTCTTCTAAAAGACTCTGATGAGTTCACCTTCCTCGGGGTTCAAAGCAGTTGCTGTGTTAACTGCTTATTAGGTAACAAGCCATGTGATAGTATCTCAGTATTAGTTTGTGCTTTAACTCCTGCAGTTCATTTAGATTGTTCCTGAGTGTGTACGCGTCACGCATGTGCACGTGTATTATGTCTCAGTCATCTCTCCTGCTAGACCAGAAGAAACACGAAGGCAGGAATCGTCTTCTACTTCTTAACATCCCCATGCCGTGCACGTGGTGAACCAAATCATATCGTTACTTATTTAACAAAACCAAACCACTAAAACCCCCCAAGCCCTGGTAGTGGCATTTTAATTTATCTCTAAGGACATGTCTTTAGTAAGAATAAAAACATTGCAAAAAGGGTGGGGCAGGATTGAAGCCGAGGAGGAAAAGAGTAAATAAAAGTCAAATGGAAAAAAAGCTAAATTAGTCCAAAAGAAAATGTTTTCCAGCTTCTTAAGAGAGTTTTTACAAACACTGAAGCAGAATAAACAAGAGAATTGACTTGGCTTGTGCCCTGATAAGGAGATTTCTTCCTTGGTTGTATAATTCTACAATGTTTAAAGGGTGTAAAGAAAATAATCAGCCAGGGAGGACTCCTTCCCTTGGACCATGCAATTCATCTCCTGGGTTAATCGCTCACAGCTCTGCTCAGCTTGACCCGACCCCCTTCCAGCCCTGTGATCTCAGACTAAGCCTCACATTCAAGAGCCCTGGCTAGAGCTCAATGTCACAGAAACAGGATAAAACATAACCTTCGTTCCATAACCTTGATCCCTTGGTGTAGTGGCCTCTGCTTGCGCATTGAGAGAGAGAAAAAAAAGAGGAAAATACAAAAGCTCTCCCTGTTTCTTCCCCTGGTAGCTGGGGTTCACAGTCTGCCTGTGGAAGGATCCAGGCACATCCTCCCACTAAGTAGTGTTATAAGTATTATTTGGAGCGATTACCTTAAAAGCACATATCCCACAACAGGTTTATCTTCACATGGCTTCTCTACTTTGTCATGAAGTAGGACCACAGGAAAGGCCCAATGAATCACTCAGCACACACTAAGCGAGATCAGGTCAGGAGATAGAGACATGTGTCCTATATCAAACTTTATCCTAGTTATCAGGCCACAAACCTAACAGCTGGTCCCCAAAGGCACGCACATTTCTGTAGGTTAATTAAACATATATTCTTTAGCCTTGGTTGGCCATTTTAACACTGGTCGTATTTTACTTTAATTTCTCATTATTGTTTGAAACATGATTCAAAAGCATTTAACTCTGCTCGTGATGGATTAGCAATGATAGTAACGAGTTGTCTTTTGTAGATTAAGATGCCACCACTGACCCATCTAATGGGATGTGAGTTGATAGACTGTCACCGATCCATCCCCGCTTTGCTCCGGGTTCTTCTCGTGACCAGTGCCCTGCATTTGACCTTATGAGCCAAGAACCAACAGCCACCAAAATGTCCCAGTCACCAAAGAGACATAAAATAATAGCGTTTTAGTCTACTAGCCACTTCCTATTGACACTAACAAAATAGAGATGACCAGTTAATTTATTAAAACAAATGAAAAAGAAACGTGTGGCTCTAATTTCTTTATTTACTGATCAACACTAACTAGGATGCGTAAAACTAGAATCAGGGAGCCCGGAACCCATGATTCCATATATAACAGACTGACTCACAAAATCAGTGTGTGTCACCCAAAATCTAAAACAGAGATAAACTGTAAGTTTTCAAGGAGTAGGGGTAAGGATCCATGAACATGACCAAATCGACATTGATCCACAAGGACTCTGCTTCCTCAAGTAGGAGTCTAGGGAGCAGTGCTTGCTGCTCCTTAGCGACACACCTGACAGCTACAAACAAGGTTTAGTCAACAAAATTTATAGCCTGGGGTACAAACGGAAGGTCATTAGGTTCTACAGGAATATTTTTGGATGCGCTCCTGAATCATCAGAGAAAAGGCATCATGGAGGTAATGAGCACGCCAGGGCCTGAGAACTCAAGAATGTTCCCCTGAACGAAAAACACGCAGCTCCATCTTCTCAGAACATGGCTGACTCAGTCATCGAGCTGGAATGTTATTTATACAGTCCCAGCGAACCAAGAGGAATCCTCTGGGCTGTAACCAAGAACACTCGGAAAGTTATGTCTGGAACAGGCAAAGGCTCATGTCTGTTTGGGATGATTCCTGACTGCCTGAAAAAGAGCCAGTCTACCTAATGCAGGTGAAGGGCCACAGTCCCTTCCCGCCACCCCCTCGGGAAGGGACCACCAGCAGAACATTTCATTCCTCTTCAATTAATAACTTGGATTTGTTACATATTTAGCAAAATGCACAGATCTGGGTTCTGTATTCTGCCCTATCCAGCAAATCAGAATAATCACCCGTCTTCCTTCTCCTCCTGTGTGCAGCGGAGGTAATGATGGGACCTGGTCCACACAGAGGACGGAGCTAAGTTAGACATCAGGAAAAATAAACGTCCTAATTAGGAGACATCTTACCACAGAGGTCAGACTGTGGGGGTCCTTTCTTCAGGGGTGGAGGGAAGATGAAGAAAGGGGTAGAAATGAACCCTTCTGGGTGAAAGGGGGACACTCTCACTTGAGACCAGGACAGAAACCCTAAGTAAGGAACTCTGGGAAAGTCACCCTTTTGGAGTCTCTCCAGCATCACCCAGTATTTTAAACTACTGGCTTATGAGTCAATGCAAAAGCACCCAGGATCTGGAGAACAGTTTCTTTGCTTGGCAAGGTCTGTCCAGCCTGAGATTTTCAAAGCAAACTAATCTCAAGAAAAAGCACCATCACCGTTTAATTTGTACATGAATTATCTAGTGCTTGACAAATAGGACAATCATTCACTTTACAGACAAAGAATCTGGGATCCCTAGAGGTATGTACCTTGGTCACTTACACGCTATTGGCCGATATCAGGAGACATGCTGACTCTCTTGGGCCCATTCTTACAGTTTTTCCCTGTGTGTGACTTGTCTCCTCTCTTCATTTTAACGGCCGCTGGGGCAGATGGGGTGCTGTTTGTTTCTCCCCTACCCCGTCAGGACAGACAACGTGGCCTTGACAGTCACAGAACAATGTCAGAGCACTCACCTGTCTTCTCTCTGAAGCGAGGCTTTGGAATATCAGCCGTGTATTCACACTGTGGCTCCAGGTGTTGCCCAGTGCAGCTGTGACACAGCTGGATCCGGAAGCCCCTGAAATGAAGCAGGGCGTAGCTATGATTGTGAGGTCCTTTCCGGTGATGGTGTTTCACAAACAAAAGCCCATTCATTGCTCGTGGCTTAGGGTACTCGGAGGCTCAGTTCAGGACCACAGAAGCTGATGACTTAGAGAA